AATTGAAAATTAGGAGGATTCAATTATTGAATTTCAAAGTCAGAGTAAAAGCTCGTATGAGGCATGAGGCAATTTGTGACCTCAAACGAATACAATTTATCATGTGACACCTCAAATCACATTAGAATTTAAACAATTGTTCCCTAGGATCCAGTCAATTACCGGAAACCCCTAGGAAAGTAGTTAGTTTTAGACTTGGATCAAAATCCATTATGCGACGATTCAAATCACATGAGAATTCATTTACTTCCTCTATGCTCTGTTTAAGAAAGTTGTGACTAGGAAAGTAAACAGAAAATTATGTTGCTGCGTTCGAAGGAAACTGTAATCTAACCGAAGCATAGCTGACAGCCAATTCAGGAAACAACTAGGTCCAACCATGATACAAATATAAATTAGGAATTTTGATAAATATTCAAACTATTCAATAAAATTAATGCAATAATAGTCTCTTTTAGTGATATTATACTGCACAAAAACTTTGACTCGGATGTTAATCGAAATGCATATTAAGATGTACTAGATATGTTTTACAGAATATCATCAAAATGCAGTCATGAACGAAGTTCTTCTCAAATATCATGTCTTTTTCTCAGGTTGTCATTATAGGAGGGGGGTGGTTGTCAATGTAATTACGACGTAATTCACCTATAGGGAGCTGTTCATTGACTACGTATACAATTTTGGGGATTCTTCCCCCCCCCCTCCCCCTGCAAAGACAAAAAAATTAAAATTTGTATGGGCCGTGGATAATTGCTATCACCACCTCCCCCCCCCCCCTCCACCAACTGTCTTGCGTTCTTAAAAACGAAGTAAAGGAACAGTGTTTACATCTGTGCGGATTTGCTAGCGCTAGTGTACTACCCAACTAGCATATGCTGATAGCCGCTGATGCCCTGCTTACATTATGCTGGCTGCTTTTTTGCACAGCGCTAGCAAATCCGCATAAATGTAAACACCAAATTAACCGCTGACTTGCTCCTGCTTGCTGCAGGACCCAGTGCAACAGGACCCAGTGCCACGCCATCTTAAGCGGCGATGAACAGAGGCACGATAGCAAGAAAATTGAAAAAGTATTTATTTCAGCAGAATCGTTAAGTAATATCCTATCGATTGGTGTATTTGTATTTTAATTTCATCTATAAATGACAAAGTTGCCGGCCCCGGTGGTGTAGTGGTAAGCGTGACTGCTTTCTAACACCCCAATGGGTCTGGGTTCAATCCCAGCCGAGGTCGGTGGGATTTTTCTGAGGCATAACAATCTCTGGTCACGTCTTCCTTCGGAAGGGAAGTAAAGCCGTTGGTCCCGGCCCATGTGTGTTGTGATTGGGTGCGATATCCTACGCAGGTGTGGAAGCTGCCTTCCTGCACATTCGATTGTCGTCAATGGATGGCAATCGATGTCCGTCGGTGATTGGCACTAGATTGCGGAACAGAGACCGACGTTAAATAAAGGAAAGAAGAAGAAGATAAATGACAAAGTTACAAGCGTTCAAAACCTAACACTTTTTTACCATACATATTTTTTGATTTGCACCCCAGTATAGGCGACAAAGACGTAGTTCTACGTCAAAAATAAGTTCGGCTAAATGCTTCTCTGGAACTCACCTTTGAATTCATTTGTCATATTCATAAAAAATGCATGGAATTATTCTCAGAACTGAATTTATTTCTAAAATCACTTTGGATTTTCTCCTTCCCTTGGAATTCAACTTACAGTTTCTAAATTCTCCTTATAAATAAATGTAGTTCTACTAACACATTCCTTAGATATCGCATAAAACATGCAATTGTACAAATCGTGGGTGGTCAACTATCATCACAAATACCTTAGATTTCTCCTCTGGAAGCTTATTTGGAGGACAGTGAGATTATAGCAGTTTACCGATCTTTGTACAAGTTGAGCGAATTCCAAGTAGGACGGCCGTGACGTTTGTTTTCTCTGTCGCATTTGAAAATTTGGAAAAATTTAAAATTAATAATTTATGTGTGATAGCTTGCCCCTGTGTTACATTTATACTTGGGTGCTGATCCGGTCAACAACTACCATAGATGGACCTGAATTCACCAAAGTCGAGAATCAAGATGTTATTTTCACGAGCAGCTCAATTCCTGGCGCAAATGACCAATCATCAGCAGCGGAAGATCTTCCATTCGGAACACCGTAAGTGCGCGTACATCGACGGTCTGCAGGACCTACAATATCCCCCAGCTTGTTCCTGGAGCCGCTGTCAAGCCACCAAACCCCCAACGTCCCATCGTTCAGTGCAATCATGTTACCGAGGTAGGACTTTCAAGTGCCAGAGAGAAGCTTACAGCTGACAAACGGCAAATAGAAATCGGGAATTTGGCTAACATTGGAGGCATTCGGTGAGATCCTTCCATTACACTGTATTTTATATACCATTCATTACATTGCATATTACTGTTACATTCACTCATAACCTAGCTCGGAGCGTTTGGTACGGTATGAAAATTCACGAAATGCATCGCAGTTTAGATATACCGTGCCAGCACCATATTTGACTCGTTCCTAATGATGACGCACTCGTCTATTTTGACAAGATATTTTTTTAAACCTTGTAACACCATCATCCCCCTAGAGCACTGAAACTAATATTTGCAGAAGTAACATTTCAAAAATAATTATTTAAAATAGTCGTACATTACGGAGTGTGTCGATTTAGGAATTGCTTCGAATATGGTGCCTCCATGGTTTAAAGGGTGATACGGTCAAAATTTGGTCAATATCAACTTGACGTATTTCTTTCAATTTTGCATTTAAAAAACCTGAACACCCCTCATTTTGAAGGTGTGTGTGTGTAGAATGTTGCTCCTATTTTGATTTTGGAATTCACTCTTCAGTTGTCAAAATGCCGTCCAAGCAAGAAGAGCAGCGTATCAAAATTTTGCTCGCGCATCGTGAAAATCCGAGCTACTCGCACGCAAAGTTGGCAAAATCGCTAAAAGTTGCCAAATCAACCGTTACAAATGTAATTAAAGTGTTTGGGGAACGTTTGTCGACAGCCAGGAAGTCTGGATCGGGGGGAAATCGAAAACCGGAAGCCGCTGAGACGACAAAGAGAGTTGCCGGTAGTTTCAAGCGAAACCCTAACCTCTCTCTCCGAGATGCCGCAAATAAGCTGGGTGTATCGTCTACAGCCGTGCATCGAGCCAAAAAACGAGCCGGACTATCGACTTACAAGAAGGTAGTGACTCCAAATCGCGATGATAAACAAAATACGACGGCCAAAGCGCGATCCCGGAGGCTGTACACGACGATGCTGACGAAGTTTGACTGCGTGGTAATGGACGACGAAACCTACGTCAAAGCCGACTACAAGCAGCTTCCGGGACAGGAGTTTTATACGGCAAAAGGAAGGGGAAAGGTAGCAGATGTTTTCAAGCACATGAAACTGTCAAAGTTCGCAAAGAAATATCTGGTTTGGCAAGCCATCTGTACCTGTGGCTTGAAGAGCAGCATTTTCATAGCTTCCGGGACTGTCAACCAAGAAATTTACGTGAAAGAGTGTTTGAATAAACGTCTGCTGCCTTTCCTGAAGAAACACGGTTGTTCCGTACTGTTTTGGCCGGATTTGGCATCTTGCCATTACGGTAAAAAGGCCATGGAGTGGTACGCCGCCAACAACGTGCAGGTGGTTCCCAAGGACAAGAACCCTCCCAACACGCCAGAGCTCCGCCCAATTGAGAAATACTGGGCTATTGTCAAGCGGAACCTAAAGAAGACCAAAAAACTGCTAAGGGCGAGCAGCAGTTCAAGGCAAACTGGCTTTCTGCAGCGAAGAAGGTGGACAAGGTGGCTGTACAAAATCTGATGGCAGGGGTCAAGCGTAAGGCCCGGCAATTCGGATTTGGAAAAGCGGAAGCCTAACTGAATATTTTTCCTGAATTTTATACTAATTGAACTTGAAAAAGAAATTTAATTTGATTTTTTAAATAAACGATTTCACCGATTTACACGCGTTTTCCATTGACCAAATTTTGACCGTATCACCCTTTATTTGAACTCGAATCCTTTCACAGAATCATCTTTGCGGCAAATGCAACGCAGTAGGCCTGGCCGTTTTGATGTTTGTGACATATCTCAGATATGCTGCAAACATCAATGTTGACAACAAAAATGATTCGGTCTTATCTAATGATTTTCCAGGATGCTTTCTCGTACTGGCTGTGATTGTATTAGATTTTATTAGATTAGATTAGTTAACCGATCTTTGTACAAGTTGAACGAATTCCAAGTAGAGTAAGGAATTTTGTAGAAGTTCTTTGAACTAAATACCGTAGAACCCCGTTAATTTGCTAAACTGGCAATTACACGACGCTCATTTAAAATTTACTTAACTGGTACCCCTACACAGGTGCGTAACGTAATTAGGCACCTGTGTAAGGATCCCAGTTAAACAAATCCTGAATGAGCACCGTTTAATTGCCATGTTAGCTATTCAAACAAACGGGGTTCTACGGTAAAAGCTCTGCTAGAATTTGGAAAATTTCGGGGGGATTCAGAGAATTTTGAAGATGTAAATATTGTAGAAATTCCAATTTTAGTCTGAGATCGAGATCAAATTGCAGGGAGCAGTAAATTAATTTTACAAGTTCAGATATCTATGAAAAACATAGTTACGAACCAATTCTATTCAGGTTTCCGTTTTTGCCATTTTTTATCACCTTAAAATCACTTTCGGTACAAAAACCGCGCGGCAAAAACGCTGCTGACAGCGAATCGAAAGCGAACGCAAAAGAAATGCTGCCAAAACGCGCGAACAGCGTCAACTTACCACCATGAGAATTGAAAAAGTGGCGAATTATTGAGGGGGGGGGGGGGGACCTTTATGCTTGAATTTTATGTCATAAGTGACGCTCGTGTATAGAAACAATGTATATGATCTTTTCGAACGGTGTATATCTATTTACTCATTGTAAATAGTCAATTAAATTGAGCTTTTCTGAACCCATGCTTTCCACTTCTCTAATTCTAGCAAACGAAGGTCGCTTGACGGAAGACGAGGCCGCGGAAGAAATCAAACGGTTGCATACTCAGCTGCAGCACCTTTACGACCGAATACCGGCGAGGGGTGTGGCCATCGCTACCATTGCTTATCTGATTGACATCTGTAAAAATTCCTCACTGAAACCACCTCCCCCGTTGGGAGCAGCCAAAGCGATTATGGCCGCACCGGACAGTGGCCAGACGCACGTAGACAAGGGCACCAATACCAACACCATCCCCAACGGGACCTACGGTAGCGAGGGGTGGGTAGGATCTGGACTGAACCAATCCAATACGCGGATCACGATAACTGACGATTCCGATCACAATAACCGTTCGATAGACAATAGCAACTTCAACTTGGACAATCTCCAGTTGAAATGCATGTGCAGCGAGGAGGAGGTGGAAGAGGAGAAGGAGCCAAAATGTGAGTGCCACAGAGGAGGGATGGCACATTCCTGTAACAAATCCGTTAGTAGTTTTAAGCATAGTGATTGCTGTGATAGTGGAAGGGAGCGTACTAGAGCGGTGCTAGTGAAGCGAAATTCAGATCAGATGTTGAGCAGTAGTGGCTGCTGTGGCAGGGATGGCCAACACGGTTCCGGTAATCATCCAGCCAATACTTGTAGTAGTAAGTTTAGTGAATTGAGTGCGAAGAATTTCGAATCTTGTGATAATCTGTTGCATCAACAGCAAAAGCAAAGACAAAAACAAATTTCCTGTGGTGATAGCATAGATAATCATTCCAGTCGGCAGCCAAATCCTAGGGAGGGTTACGGTCTAGTGACAACGACCTCTTCTCTCAGCGTAGACGAGAAGAATTTTAGGAATCTCAATCAAGAGAACTTCAACAAATTGTACGCCAGTCACAACAACAAGATAGATAGTTTGAAAGAAAACTTTCTGATGCGAACTGCACTCACCACTGCACTTCACAATCTGGAAAACGAGAACCGTTCGCGAAACCATAGACTGAACGCGGAATCTATGCAATTCCCGTCGGCAGTTGGTATCCAACGGATATCTCCCACGTGTCCTACCATACCGACCACCACCACCATTACCACAACTACCAACAATCACAACACATCGACGATTTCAACACCGACTCCATCATGCAGTTCCTCGGGAGCATCCATCACCACCACTAACGCTTCATCCGGTGGGGTGATGTCAACCGTGCCAGTGTCAGTTATCAGCAGTACTGATGCGGATGCTGCCACGGCAACAGCAGCCACCGTCGATGCGAACGGGACTAGCTCCAGTGGTCAGTCAAAAAAGAAAAAATCACCCGAGAAAAGGTTAGTTATCGATCTGAACGACAGGTCGAAGTACACCGAAGAAGTGTCCGTGTGAGATTGTTAGAACCCTAGTAGGATTAATATTTACAATTTTAACAAGAAATGACTTAACAGTACGGAATATTCATCATTATGAAACTTCACACACTTTTAGATTTTTCGATATTAACAGATGATAGTATTAATATACAGGTTACAAATGTAAAGAGATGGTTTATACACAAGTAAGTACAATCAAAACGTTGGTAGGTTTAAACGTGTTGAATTTAGCACTCGGTTTAGAAGCCACATCGCACCGGTGGTGTCGTAAAATGTTGCAATTTAAACTTCCTAGTCACGAATGTTTCCACCAACGAATCGATCGACCCAAGGACTGACTGTTTGGACTATTTAATGAATTCATAGCGGCAAGCAAATCTCAAATCAATGGCAATTGGTTTTGAATCCTAAAATTACAACCAATCAAGGCACAATCATAACAAATGTTGATTAGATCCTCGTTTGTCAGGGGTGGGTATTAAAGGGGCGAATCAGCACAAATGCCACCAAACAGCACATGGCACGCCATCCTTTCGGTATCATATTCGTAACCGTTTGAACTTACTTTTCGCAAAAACCAATTGGACAACCGGTATCTATTTTCCTGCAAACATCCCATCATTACCATAAAAATACACGATCTGGTGCCTCGGTCGGCATCGTTGGAGCAGAGCTGATTCGGAAAAACACAAATCGATTCCACGGGAATCGTAAAATGAAACAAAATAACCGAACCCCATCTATGGTAACCCATATTTCCTTTGTTTTCCGTTGAAAGCTAATCCTCCTTCGAAGCCACTTGCAGTAATTTGAAGACATTTCTGTATCAACATTTCAAAAGGGCGAAATTGCGTTTGAAAACATTTACGTTAACCGTCCATTTGTCGCGAATAAAAGTTGTAACATGCAAAGTAACGAAACCAGCAGATTGAGGGATGTTTCCTCTACCAGCTTGCATGGTTAATTTGCTGGAGTGAGCTTTTATTTGCGAGAAATCGGTGATTGAAGCCATTGTTTACAAAAGTAGTTTCGCCTTTATGAAAGGATGGTACCGATTTACTTTTACCCTTTGAGCAAACTCTTTTACGCATCACTTGTCTTCCTGGGATCTCAAAGCTTCTTCGGATAATTTTAGATCTCCTGTAGGAAATTTTCATTTCCATTATCGCAATGATAGTCTCGAGCAAAATACCTAAAGCCAAGTAATCATTTTGCGGTGGTTCACTTGTGCCACCTTTGCTATGTTAATGGAAATTGCAAATCACGTAGACTCTACTATCAAACAGCAGATCATTTGCTATGACCTCCAGAGATGATACAGGACCACATTAGAATAAATGTAATCGAAAATAGGCTCTCAATCAATGAATCGCCGGAAGAATTCATCAATTTCCAATTCAACAACCTCATCGTAATTACCCTGCATCCGGATTGAATGCCACTTAGATAGCAAGGATACACATCGCATGCGAACAGAGAACCTGCCCAACACGACGACGTCAAGGATGCGTGTCTTGCAAATACATTCACCTTGGAGACGCTGGACATGGGCGGTTGCAGGAGGCAGGAATTTTCAGGGGACAAACATCACACAGCTTGTCAAATGTCCGGGTTCGGTAAGATTTTAATTAGATTTGCTTGATTTTAGTCCCAATTTGTAGAGCTCATTCTAGCCCACAGCCCAGATAACCAGAATGCTTTTAATAATATTCAAAGTTGTGTTCGTGATAAATAAACATACATACAAACACATAATTTGTATAGAATGCAAATAAATGGCTTATAAGTACAAAAGTGGAGGCCATATACGTGCATATTTTAATTTAATTTTAAACGAGTTGATTTAACATCACATACGATTTAATCTGTAAAAACAAATTCATTTTGGAAAAGTTTCACGATGTAATCCGATTTAATTTGTGATACAGTACGGCCAAAAAATAATAACATATAGGTTGGAAATTTGCATTCTATACGATTTAACTTAAACTAGTAATCCTATACATAGAGATTCGTGGAGGCGGCCATTTTCAGCCAATCGAGCAGTGAGAACTGTCAAAATGTAAGCCAAACAAGCATTATGATTAGAAAATATTCAGATTGAAAAGTTTTTCAATCGGGGTCTGTACTCGAAAAAAATGCACCAGACAAAAGTGTTTGCCAAAAATTTATTTTAAGTCGGATTTTAATGGAACTTTCAGGGAATGAACTAATACATATGGATTAGCTAAGTTCCCAGGTTTGAGATAGATTCCAGTCCATTAGGAGGGATATGTTAGTCCCACACAGTTCCCGCAGTTGTGTATTTCTCTCATTATTTACATAGTGGTCTCCGAATCCGATGGCGTATGGTAGTTTAGATTGTACGCCGGGGGTCCACTGTTAAGGAACTGCATCGCCCGAATACTTTCCCGTGAAACCGACCTTCGATTGGGCAGCTGAGGGATAGCCAAGGGATCGCTCATTGTGTCCACCATGGTGGCTTGCTGATGTTGCTGTTGATGTTGATGTTGTTGTTTATGTTGCTGTTGCTGTTGTTGGTGGGGTTGTACTTGCTGCTGATTGGTCAGGCTGGCGAATACGTTCTCTCCCGTTGCACCGGGCTGATAGATGTTCATATTGCCTACAGTTGAGTACGAACTTAGCGGACGGGTTCCGTGGAAGTTCGAATAACTGGAACGCACGGAAGGTGGCCGGTTGCTTGTGTAGTATTCGTCATTCAACTCGGGACTGTGGTTCAGATTCGTGGTCGAATGCTGATAGGTAGGATTGGAATGGCCACCGATTCCTGCGGGGTTTGCTGATGTCCAGGAGGTTTGCTGCTGTAGCAATGGCGAAGAGGAATTCATATTGTAATAAATTGGATCAATTGGACTACCATCGGGCAGGGTAGGAGTGTGAGTGTTGTGCCGTGGTGGGTGATTGATTGTGTTGAGATTGTTTGGTCCGCCTTGACTGAAATTGTTCAACATGGAAGCCGCTGTTTGGCCCATGATGTAATCGTTGTTAAGTGACTTGAGATTAGATTCCGTCAGTTCGGAGTTCTTACTGTGCACAAACTGAGGGAATGTTTTGGTTAGGATCATTGTTCCAGCACTCTGCTGGTTCATCAGCTTAGTAACCGGGTTTTGGTGTACTTTCCGGCGGGAGTTTCTCACGCTGCTTCGATTGTTGGAGTGACTTCGCCGGCTGGTCGTACTTTGGCGGCCGGTAGTGCCCCACACCATCACAGATCGTCGCTTGACACGACGTGGGGTCATCGGTTTGGGACTGAGCGATGGACCCCGGAGATCATCATCGTCGTGGGCTCCTCGAATCGCGTCCACCGGGCGGGTGAATTCGATTGAGTAGAGCGATTGACGGTGTTTGGATTTTTTGCTACTTCTGCTGGCTGTGGGTCGCAGATCGAACGCGCCGTGGTTCCGGAAAAGAAAGAGACCAGGGAGAGAAAAAATCGGGGGACAGAAAGAAAATTGCCGAATTAGTAATCGGAGATTGATTATTTACTTTTTATTAGGCTGTGGAATAACAGTAACGCTAGCATTAAGTGTTTATCTCATGATTCGGCGAGTAACCCGAGCGACTTGAGATGCAGATTTATCGAAGCAAGTACGTGTTTTTATTGTTTCCCTTAGACCAACTATCATGTTCAATAAATTACCAATCACAGTTAAATAAGACAGGTGTTTTTTTTTTCGATGTTCCAGATCCTCCGGTGGACCGAACTATTGAGTTTCAGATACAGATACAGATCTTAATCGATTTCCGTAGAATAATAATATTTTTTTTTTTTGATCTTCCGGAAATTTTGTCTGTCTCCTTAGGAGTGCGCATCTATCGCAGTAGTCCAACGATACTGGTTGGAACAAGGCGATTAATGCCAAGTAATCTTTTATAGAATGAATTTTAGACGCCTGCTTCGAGGTCATAATGTTTACTGATCGTATGAATATCATTCGTCTAGTTTACTGAGTGTAGTGACCGTGAGTGTATCAATTACCGCTCATTGGTGTCAAATCTTCTATTTTTCAAATTCCATTTGTATCTAATGTCGTTACTGTTTTATTTTCTACCCCTCTTAGACCATGAGATTCAGTATTATTTGGCTATTTATATTTCTCGACTAACAATACAAACCGCAGCTCACCTACGCAAACAAACAACACTATCGGATAAGGAAAAAATCCCCTACTCGACGGTGTTGTTGTTTTGGCAAGATAAGCGAAAAAAAAAACATTACAAGTTTTGCTTGAAAAAGCTGATATTATATTGTTAGACGAGATTTCCAACTTTTTAATCGCACTTTTTAAGCACCAGTGAGCGGTTATTACTTGGTGATTACTTGGTACACTGATGGTATTCAAAAAGAGCAAAAAGGAGTGAGTAGAGGAAAAATCTACTTCGGCCTAATCGCCCATTCCCGGCCTATCGAGCACAGAACATCAAATATATAGTTTGGTACGATGCTTCTATTCAATAGCTGCAAGATGGCTCAGCTCTGGTACTATTTTTGGGCCCAAGCTAATCGATGCACCCCTCGAAACATAGGAAAATCCACGAGCCCCTCATTTTATCTGTCAAACTTTCATAGTGAATCACAACAAACATAGTGTAGTACTAGAATTTCGACTAGAATGGGGTACGTTAATCGATTTGCTTGGGACCAATAGGCTAGTCAAGTAGTGAGCAAATTTAAAATCGTTAGTTTCCACCACTTGGTTCAAATGCATTACCCTGTGGTTGTTGTTATGCCCGCCCATGGGATTTTGCTGAACAGCAAATTACTTAGTGTCGTCATGCGGGACCACTGATCCCACCGAAACCTCCACTGCCACGAATAAAACTTTCGAGACTGAGCAAGGCTTTATATTTGACTGATTGGTAGGTCACCCATCGCACCAGGTCCTTTTGAGACGAACTAGTGCAACATAAAAGTGCAGATTGGATCGTTGATGAGGGGGGTTACTCACGGAATAGAATGTAATTGCATTTCTGTTTGCATTGATCTGTCCCTATAAATTCTTTACTGTTTCGCTAAGGCAGTCGCATATCGAATCAGATCTGATGGAACATTTGGGGTTAATACGTATCGATATCCCCCAGCAGTACTGGGACTTGTATTGACATCCCTACACACTACGAAAAACTCGTGTAAATTTCGGTTCCCTGAGACAGACACATGTAAGCGGAAACATGACGCTGCAAAGTCTCTAGGCCAATCGGGTGAGATCTTTCCATTTTATCTATTTATATTTTATTTTTTGTCACTGATTTATCAAATGCTCTATATTGACGAATAGAGTTGCCAAATCATTCACCCTCCCACTAACACAACTCTTTCCTTCCTGTGACACCTATGAAGGTAGTATGGGTTCCCTGCACCTTCTTAAGTAGATGTTGGATTAACTTTCCCTCCCTTCCCCTGCGATTGTAAGGATGTGGCCAGGTGTATAATGCGATGCTTGTATTGTAGATTTTATTTTCGTGTGGGAAAAATCACTAATCCCAAGTGATATTTTCTGCGTCAACACTCGATATTTTCTGCAAAACGTATTAGTTGACCATTATATAGCCACCCACGATTTGTACAATCGCATATGCTATGCTATGCTATGCTATGCTATGAACTAATACATATGGATTATGTTTCGGCATAATTACTATTCAATTTCCTTTCCATCGCTGAAAGTCTACACCTTTCCCTTAAGACCCCTCATTACATTTTGTGCAATGGTGGAGACGACCTTTTTGGTCACTTTCATCCATTCTTTCTTCAACTCCAGCTCGTTCTTAAACACCTAGGACGATTTTCAAACTTTGGCCTTCATTATGGCCCAAAATCTTTGCACCGGATGAATCTCTGGTGAATTTGGGGGGTTGGCGGTTTTTGGTACAAAAACAACGTTATTGTCTCTGTACCAATCCAACGTCGATCGCGCGTAATGGCATGATGCCAGGTGCGGCCAAAATAATGTCTCGCCTCCTTGAGACCACAGGAAGGGTAACAGACGCTTCTGGAAGCACTCGATTCGGTAAATTTTGCTGTTGATGGTACCCATTGTGGTTTACTCAGTTTACCGTATTGGCTTATGGCCTGCCAGAGCAAGAATTTTTTGGCGAATTTGTCCACTTTTTTCTTCCTTATGTCTTCCGGAACATCAAACCGTGATTTGGCAACGTAGAACTCCAGCCCCGGTATCTGTTTTGTGTCTGACTTGATGTAGGTTTCGTCATCCATAACCACACACGTCGGTTCCGTTAACCACTCTCGATACAGCTTCCTTGTGCGGGGTTTTTTCCGCCGTGTTTTGTCTTATTTGGTATGAAGACCGGAATAAGACTGAACGCAACATTTCTGTTTATTTTCAGCAATATATCTTAATTCTCTAGCAAAATACAATTGCGTGTGCTCCAACACAAACTGGAACAAGCATTAAATTTAAACTAGATACCGCATAGAATCCACTAGGGGAAAATCCGCCGGTAGTCCTCAAAACATCAGCCATTTTTTGCAAAGTTTAGCATTTTTCGGAAACTGAAAAAAAAAACTCAAATTGCTACACTTCGTTGCACTTCAATGATTCCGGTTATTGCAAAACTTGGCAAAAATAGCTTATCAGTTCACTAAGAATTCAAACAACGTAAACAAACAAACTCGTAGAGTAGACAACGATAAAGTCACGCACAAAGCTGGAACATTTTACTCCGCGACAAGTGTTGGCAGCTTTTTTAAGCAGAACAAATCACGTTGCCAAATCGTCTGATAATATTTCCGCGAATCTCTGTATAAAAGATTACTAACTTAAACATAATTCTTATATGCGATTTTGACTTAAACTGTAGCAATTTACAATACTGTCTGTACATTGTAATACGACTTCTGGTTATCTGGGAGTGCACAGTGGTCCAGAATGTAGATTAAGGTGAAAGGATATGAATTGAGCCTAAAATTTAAACTTAGGTTAAAAGCGAAGACAACAAATCAAGAACACTGGCAACTCTTCCATTTTCTTATACGAACGCTATGACACAGGTACAATCACGTCATCTGTCGCTCAAAGGTAAATGCTTCGAACGAACCTCAGAAGAAAGGTTTGTGTATTTGCTCATTTTACTATGCGTTGCTTCCACCTTCACTCAAACAAAGCGCTATTGTATCTGTCGCTTGGATTCTGGATTCTTGATATGATGTCATCGCTAAAAGTCAAGAGGTAATAAACTCTGCACACTGTGCTCAACACAGCATGGCGCACTGTTCAACACGATGGGGCACACTTTGAAAAGTAGGACCTAAGCAATATAATATAAAACGCCATCACTGTTGAGTGTTGACGTTCAGCCAATCGTTGCTAATGGGGTGTTTACATCTGTGCGGATTTTGCCCAAATTTAATTTTACTATGCCCAAAAATGTGTTTAGTAATAGAATAAGAGGTATAGATTAAACAAGTTTTAGTTCAACATCCCTGTCGTACATGATGTAGCAAGTGGACGCTTTTGGTCCTGTTTGCTGTGCACGCCTTTGATGCCATCTCTCCGACTGGACCAAACCAGGCAGAGACCAATTAACTGAGCATTATATTGCCATTCCGGGAAACGGAAAGCAGACAAGCAGATTGAGTTTACGGCTTCCATTGTATGCAGCGAGCAGTCAGTGATCTTCTCTCCATGCTACCCTGTCTCTCTCTCTCACCTCAGTGGTAGTGCTATCTAAACTGGTTGACCGAGCATGTCCTCGTTCTACTTCACTTCTTCGTTCCCTTCTTAACCTTCATCATCATCTTGTGAAAGCATCCCTGAGACTGCTCCTCTGGGTAAACCGGAGCAGGAATCTTCGCCTTTCAAGCTTTATGAGCTGCTATGAAATATTTATTAGGAAAGTTCACGCAACTTGGCAGGTTGGCCTAATCTTGAAACAATAAAACGAAGTAATTGAAAATAAACGTCTAGCAGACTTATGCTAATTTTACCACTTTACATCCCCTACCCGATGGGACTGATACTAACCATTAGGCAAGCATGGAAGACTCACGCAAAATGTTGGATGCAAACGACACCGACGTTGACCTTGTGTTTATCTCGACTAACGATAACGTCCCTCAGCACAGAAGGAAGGAAGGAAGAAGGTGGACACTTTGCAAAGATTTGAAATAAAATGCAAACGTTGATAAGGCTTGATTATGGTGAAATCCGCTGTGATTTCTATTCATGGAATGATGCATGTCCTTTCTTTTCGTTTAGCTCCTTCACGACTCAACCTTGAGGATTGTGGGTTGATGGGACGGGACAGGATTTTTAAAATTTATTTCTGAAATGAATACGAATCTCAAATTATTAGAGGCATCTTCTGGGGGACACCTTTCTAGCGACATCTGGTTGTAACAGCTGGAGGTGAAAGTTAGGATGTCAAACTTTGCCGTTAAACGTGCCTACGCAAAAGTGCGCGAATTATAAACGTCAGAAAAATCAATGCGTATCAATTTAAAAGGTACCCTTTTCCCACG